GTGATGGTAGTGATGATCTTAATGGTGATGTTAGTGGTGATCTTAATGGTGATGGTAGTGGTGATCTTAATGGTGATGTTAGTGGTGATGCTAGTGGTGATCTTAATGGTGATCTTCTTTTTCTTCTTCTTCGTTCTTAATTTTTGATTATGGTGGAGGAATTAGACAACAAGTCCAACTTCATGGACAAACCGGACTGTGGTTTCCAGTTTGTCAGGTGTCCCATATAATTTTTCCCTGAGTGGGGTGGGCTGGGGCCAGTGTCTGCCTCTTGCCTGGCTATACAGAGTACAATCCTGGAGTACGTGCTCCGTGTTTTCCGGGGCCTTGCCACAAGGGCACATTTCGCTACACCCAACCTTCAGTTTTTTGTGCATGTGTTGATTTAGTCTGTTGTGGCCTGTTCTAAGTCGAAAGATTATGTATTGTTGTTTTCGTGTTAAATTGTAATAGCCGTCGTCTTTAATGTAGTGAGGGTGTGTGACAGACCACATTTGCGTTTGTTTGTGTTTAATTATTCTTTTTATTTCTTTTGGGTGTAGCGAAATTTCCGGTTGTGGTTTCTTTCCCCCAATTTTTGCCAGCTGGTCTGCGATCTCGTTACCCTGGATCTGGCAGTGGCCCGGGATCCACTGCAGCACAATTCTGCTGCAGGTATTTTTTAGCCTCTCTAGTGCTGTCATGAGTGTTTGAATATAGGCCTCCGGATTTTGTAGGGATTGCAGGACTGATTTGGCATCTGTAAGAAATACAATCTGACTATTCGGTGATTCAGGGTGTTCTGACAGGAGGTTTGCTGCGTGTTCTAAAGCTTCTTTTTCTGCCCTAAAATTGTCGGATAGGCTGCCTGCGGCTATTGCCTTTTCCAGGCTTTTTCCGCTTGGCCATTCAATAAGGATGCCAGCCCCGCCGTTTTTTGTGGCATCTTCAGCTGAGCCATCTGTGAAAACTCTAATCCAGGTATTGCTGGGGTACTGATCCTTAATGTGTTTATTTGTTATTTTCTTAAGTTCTTCTAGATCATAGTCAGATTTTTTTCCTATGGTGTCTATTGAGTCAATAATGGTTAAGTGACAGTGGGAGATCCAAGGCGGGGAGAGGTTTTGAGTTTTTATTGCTTCAGGAATGATATTTTCGATTTCATATTTCTTTTTCAGATTCTTTGCTTCTTTGATGAAACTTGTTCTTTGTAGTCTGGTTGATGGACTGGGTTTCTGGAGTTTTTGTTTTAGGTTATGGTTTTCCAGTGCCTCTAGCTTTGTGTAATGAGTGAGAATTTTTGATTCTCTTCTTTCTTCTATTGAGCTAAGAGCGGCTATTTCCTCCATAGCATTTATGGGTGTTGTTTTCATGGCTCCTGTCATTATTCTCAAACCAATGTTCTGAACTTTGTCAATTTTGCTAATATTTGTTTTTGCTGCTGAGCCCCAAGCCGAAGCACCATATTCTAACGTAGGTCTCACATAGCTGGTGTAGGTTTTTTTCAGGATGTGGTGATTTGCTCCCCAGTCTGTTCCTGCCAGTTTCCTCATTAGATTAAGTCTTTTGATCCCATTACTTTGTGTGTTTTCTATTTGTTTTCTCCAGGTAAGTCGAGTGTCTAAAGTGACTCCTAGGTATTTGGGGTGGTCATTTTTTTCTAGCTCTTGGTTTTCTAGGGTAAGTTTCATTTTTTGATGTTTAGTTGATAAGGTGAAGATTGAATAAGTTGTTTTCTTGGTATTGATGGATAAGCCCCAGTTTTTGGTCCATTTGCCGAGCTTGTCAAGTGTTTCTTGAAGACGAAATTTTGAGGTACCAATATATTCCTCTGTGCTGATTAGTGAAAGGTCGTCTGCAAACATGCTTCTTTTTACTCTCCTTGGGATGTTTTCATTTAAGTCATTTATATAAATGAGGAAGAGAGTAGGAGACAAGACTCCTCCTTGAGGGACTCCATTTTTTATAGTTACTGTGTGACTTCTTTTTCCTTGCATGGAGACTGATGCTTTTCGGTTGCTTAGGTAACCTTTTATCCAGTTTAGCATGTTATGAGATACTTGATGGTTTATTAGCTTTAGAATTAAGCCTTGCTCCCAAACCTTGTCAAAGGCTTTTTCAAAGTCGACCCACACTATTGAGGTTGGTTTTTTTTCTTGAAAGCCATCTTCTATTTCCTGAGAAATGAAGGTGATTTGGTCTTCAGTAGATCTGCACTTCCTGAAGCCTGCCTGTTCGTCTGCTAGTAGATTGTTCGATTCTAGAAACCAGGTCAGTCTGTTGTTTACTACTCTTTCCATCAGTTTACAAACGCAGCTTGTTAAACTTATTGGGCGATAGCTATCGACTTTGTTCCTGGGTTTTCCTATTTTTAGAACAGGTATCATGATTGCTTTTTTCCAAATATTTGGGATTTTCCCAGATTTCCAGCTTGCATTAAATATTTGGAGCAGTTTTTTCTTAGCATTGGGGCCCAAGTGCATGAGCATATCATTTGAGATTTTGTCAGGGCCTGGAGCTTGCTTAAGTTTGAGGAGCTTCATTGCTTCTCCGAGCTCCTTCTTGCTAATTCGAGCTACCATTCCAGTGGAGGAGGGGGGAGAGACATTCTGTAGTTTTTCTTTAACTTCAGTTTGATTTTTAACCTCTTCTACTCTTTGGTGGCTGATATTTATTTGTCCCACTTTGCTGAAGTGGGTTATAAATTCTTTTGCTGCATCCTTTTCTGTTTTGATCGTGTTTTCAATGTCGATGACTATGGGAGTAGCTCTGTTTTCTTCTTGGTTTAGCCTTTTTGCAATACTCCATAGTTTATGACCATCTCTATCTACATTGAGGTGTTCTGTTTTTTCTTGCCAGCTTTTCCTCAATGCAGTTAGATACTTTTTTCTAAAGACTGCGTTTGCTGATTTTAATTTTATGTTATTTTCTACAGTGGGATTTTCTTCAACAATGTTTCTAGCATCAATTGTCTCGTCATGGAGTATCTGGAGGTCTGGAGTCCAGTTTGGGATATAATTTTTCCTTGCTCCCCTTGGAATAGATTTTTTGGCTGCTAACAGAACTGCTTTTGAGAAGGCTGTGTATGACTTGTTCACCTGTTTGGTTTTACAGTTGATTGGTCTTGTGTAGGAGTCTGTGAGGGAAGAGAAGAGCTCCCAATTAGCTTTTTTGTAGTTCCATCTAGGGCGGGGGTAGGCTTCAATTGGCCTGTTTGATGTTTCTATCTGGATCAGGATTGGTCGGTGGTCGCTAGTGGCTAGTTGATCTGCAACTTCTCTTTTGCATTTTTTGGATATGCCATTAGTAGCAAAAGCTAGGTCGGGGGTAGTCGTGGTTAACCAAGACCTTGAGTAAAAAGTTGGTTTGTCATCAGGTTTATTTAGAAGGATGAGCCTATTTTCTGCTTGCCATTCTTCAATTTCCTCTCCTTTAGCATTGAGGTCAGGGTAACCCCAGCTCTGGGAGTGGCTGTTCATGTCTCCCACAACCAGGCACTCTTCGCTGTTTGGCAGGGAGATGCGGTCCAGTTCTAGGTCCTTATCAGGAGGACAGTAGCAATTGAAGATATTTAGGTTACCTTCTGCAAGTATGAGTTTGGTGCCCATTATCTCAGATGCTGTTGAGTTTGGTATAACGATATCTGTTGTTGGAATGTCATTTTTTATGAGAATGAGGATACCTTCTTTAGGTCTGTTTTCCCTGTCCTGCCTTATGCAGGTGTATCCTCTAATAGAGAAGCGAAGATTGTTGTTGAGGTGAGTTTCTTGAATACAAGCAACGTCTACTTTATTTTCATGTAGGAATATTTTTAAGGCTTCCTTTTTTTTATGAACTCCCTCTGCATTCCACTGCAGGATAACAAGTAATTTGTTGTTTTCCTCACTATTTTATCAGTAGAATTTACCTTCTGATCCTTGCCCCTGGCTGGCCAGGCAAGAATAGAGGAACCACCAGCTCGCTTTTGTGGGCTCCTTCGAGGCGGAGAGCCCGGCCCCCTACCTGCGCGGCGGGATTCCACAGGTGATGCTAGTGGTGATCTTAATGGTGATGCTAGTGGTGATCTTAATGGTGATGGTAGTGGTGATCTTAATGGTGATGGTAGTGGTGATGGTAGTAGTGATGGTAGTGGTGATCTTAATGGTGATGCTAATGGTGATGGTAGTGGTGATCTTAATGGTGATGTTAGTGGTGATGGTGTTCACAAACAGCTGATTGTGCTTCTGTTTCACCATTACAGGTGTGTGTACGTGGATCAAATGTTGCTGTAGCTGGTGATTGCTGCCGTGTCACCATTGGAGGTGTGTTTACATGTCGATTATATGTGAAGATTTAAGCAATATCTATTTGACTGTAGTTATCTTTATATAGATTGTGCTGTATCAGTATATATGTATTTATGTGTGGGCTTATGTATGTGTTGATAACATTTAAAATTAGTTAGAAAGCCCTAATCATGTAATAACTAGTGTATTACTCCGTTCGTTTTTTTTTTTTCAAATGTAACCAACACTAGTCCTAAACCTAGTCCAAACACCAGGCATGTATTAAAATTAAATCCTAAATCTAAACCATCAACCTAACAGCTTTAGCACATTGATATAAACTACAAGATTCACTCGTGAAAGATTCTAGTAATACTCTGTCAAAAGATATTAACACTCGTTGAAATAAAAAACAAATTAGCAATCGGTACTATCATCTAATAACTAAACTTCCAGATTATTAAAAAAAAAATTAATAAAAATATATCCAAAAAGTAACTGATAACGGCTTGAGTTTAATCAATGGATTAAAAAAAATTCAGAACAAATGTCTAAAGTCATCAATATTCTCCTCGTATAATGCGCCATATGATACTATAAATAGCACAGCTAATACGGTGAAGACCAGCCAACGACTGGCTCGGCCTGGCGGTAAAATCGATGATACAACAGTCGGAATAACGAGGACAGATTGACAACAAGTAGACAGGGCTGTCCCGTGCTGTCACGGTACAGGGCTGTCCTGGTGTACTTTACCTGTGTGAGTTAAACATCCACTGGAGAATGGCGAGCACGGTGTGAGAAGATGACCGCCCTACACATTGCCCCCACCCCCGGGAGCTTGCGACATGTGACACACAATAACAGGCACCGCTCGGCGAAATTTGGGACAGAGGAATCCCTGGGCTGGGTGAAGGGCAAGCGGGCACACTGGTGGGGGGGGGGGGGGGTTTAGAGGGAGGGGAGGGATGGGTTGCGCGACATTTCTTGGCGTGGAGTGGGGAATGGAACTGCTGGTGTAGAGGTGGGTGGAGTATAACAGTTGGGAAGGGGGTAGTGGAACTGTTCTTGTATAGGTGGGGGTGGGGTGGGGGTAGTGGAACTGTTCTTGTATAGGTGGGGGAGAGGGTAGTGGAACTGCTCTTGTATAGGTGGGGGTGGGGGTAGTGGAACTGTTTTGTATACGTGGGGGTGGGGGTAGTGGAACTGTTCTTGTATAGGTGGGGGAGAGGGTAGTGGAACTGTTCTTGTATATGTGAAGGTGGGGGTAGTGGAACTATTCTTGTATAGGTGAGGGTGGGGGTAGTGGAACTGTTCTTGTATAGGTGGGGTGGGGGTAGTGGAACTGTTCTTGTATAGGTGGGGGAGAGGGTAGTGGAACTGCTCTTGTATAGGTGGGGGTGGGGGTAGTGGAACTGTTTTGTATACGTGGGGGTGGGGGTAGTGGAACTGTTCTTGTATAGGTGGGGTGGGGGTAGTGGAACTGCTCTTGTATAGGTGGGGTGGGGGTAGTGGAACTATTCTTGTATAGGTGGGGGTGGGGGTAGTGGAACTGTTCTTGTATAGGTGGGGTGGGGGTAGTGGAACTGCTCTTGTATAGGTGGGGTGGGGGTAGTGGAACTGTTCTTGTATAGGTGGGGGTGGGGGTAGTGGAACTGTTCTTGTATAGGTGGGGGTTGAGGTAGTGGTAGGTGGGGGTGGGGGTGGGGGTGGGGGTAGTGGAGCTGTTTTATATAGGTGGGGGTGGGAGTGGGGATATTGGAACTGTTCTTGTATATGTGAAGGTGGGGGTAGTGGAACTATTCTTGTATAGGTGAGGGTGGGGGTAGTGGAACTGTTCTTGTATAGGTGGGGTGGGGGTAGTGGAACTGCTCTTGTATAGGTGGGGTGGGGGTAGTGGAACTATTCTTGTATAGGTGGGGGTGGGGGTAGTGGAACTATTCTTGTATAGGTGAGGGTGGGGGTAGTGGAACTGTTCTTGTATAGGTGGGGTGGGGGTAGTGGAACTGCTCTTGTATAGGTGGGGTGGGGGTAGTGGAACTATTCTTGTATAGGTGGGGGTGGGGGTAGTGGAACTATTCTTGTATAGGTGGGGGTGGGGGTAGTGGAACTATTCTTGTATAGGTGAGGGTGGGGGTAGTGGAACTGTTCTTGTATAGGTGGGGGTGGGGGTAGTGGAAATATTCTTGTATAGGTGGGGTGGGGGTAGTGGAACTGTTCTTGTATAGGTGGGGGTGGGGGTAGTTGAACTGTTCTTGTATACCTTGTAAACACCTCCACCATCTCTACACCTACGCCTACACCTACACTTACACCTACACTTACACGTACACGTACACGTACACGTACACGTACACGTACACGTACGCGTACACGTACGCGTACGCGTACGCGTACGCGTGCGCTTGCGCTTGCGCTTGCGCTTGCGCTTGCGCTTGCGCTTGCGCTTACGCTTACGCTTACGCTTACACTTACACTTACACTTACACTTACACTTACACTTACACTTACACTTACACTTACACTTACACTTACACTTACACTTACACTTACACTTACACTTACACTTACACTTACACTTACACTTACACTTACACTTACACTTACACTTACACTTACGCTTACGCCTACGCCTACGCCTACGCCTACGCCTACACCTACGCCTACGCCTACACCTACGCCTACACCTTAAACAATTTACGGTATTTACCAACGTCACTATCAAATACGTCAACAGTTAAAAAATTCAAGGTATACCACTATGTCAATATCAATATCAAATACATCAAACGTTAGCTTACATTTGTGTTTTCACCAAGCCAAATAAGTGCCAGCCTCCATGATTAAACAAAGCAGTCATCTCCCTGCTCATATAATCCGCGCTGCTGTTCAGAGGGGAAAAAAAAAATGTTCGACCAAAGAGAGGTAATCCATGTTTTAGAGTCGTTCTGTTCACCATTTGTATTATCCCCCTTAGAATTTTATTTTGAAATGAGACCAGCTTCACGCTACCAGCAACAGGAAGTAAAAAAAAATTGTCGGCGTAAAAACAGGGATTTGTACACATAGTGTTACATCACATTTAATGCTCTCAGTTAGAAATTAACAGAAAAAATTTGAAAAAATGAGTTAAGAATTGTTTAAAAAGTCAAACTATAATACAAACTATAATCTAAAGAACTTTTCCATCGATTACTTAACTGACCAGCGTTGAACTAAAAATAAACCTCACGACGTACGGATCTCAAGAGGTTATCTCGAGACACGACGTGACGTCGCACACACCTCTTGACCTTGACCGTCAGAACCCTACGTCTGCCGCATCCACCGTAGCAGAAGAGATCCGCATAGCTGCACCCGGCATGACAGCGATTGATACGCTGATCAAACCGGTGTCTTCATGGAGCCTACAGGCCTGGCTTATGGGGGGGGGGGGGGGGGGCGAGGGGGGGGGGGGAAGAGAGACGGCCCCTCAGCCAAAAATGTCAGTGTTGTTGTTTGAGCGCCACCCGGTGCTTAGAAAAATTGACACAAATGCAGAAGTTGTAAAAACTATTTTAAAAAAAAAAAAAAAAAAAAAAAAAAAAAACATTCTAAGTGTCTTAATAGAAACAAGCCAATAAGGGCTCTTTTAAGCCAGACCATTGAGCTCGCACTTTACGTGTATCTGTTACCATCATATCAGTGTGGGGGGGGGGGAGATTACATATAGGGCGGGGGTTGACAAGGCAGAAGCTCAGGTGCCTTGATGTTTATGGGAACTCCAATTTGTTTCTTCAAACTGTGATAAATTTCCTGCCGGCTATTCGGTTTTAACTAGAAATTTATTTTCATGGTTTGTCCTTTCATCTTTATTCCACTACAGCAGTAGATATTAACAAGCTGGGAGCAATTTTTTTGTGTACATGTATAAGTAATCGTGTGTATATAGATCTATAAATAATATTACATTTTAAGTAATGGTTTAGAATATAAACGTAAGACTGCTTGTTTTAAGAGATTGGGCTACAGACAGACAGACAGACAGACAGACAGACAGACAGACAGAAAGACAGACAGACAGACAGACAGACAGACAGACAGACAGACAGACAGACAGACAGACAGACAGACAGACAGACAGACAGACAGACAGACTTCTCAAAGACCAGATAGATGGAGAGACAGACAAATGGAAGGAAAGACAAGACAATGTAAACTAAACAAAGGCTAATAACGTATTGGTATATCTTTGATATTCGTCGCTGTATTAACTTTGAAACTCAAACTTTAGACATTGAATCAGGGCTATCATTTTTTGCCCTACTTCTATTCTTGAGGCCTTCACACCTGTGCGCTTTTGTGTGCGCAGTGGTGGTATTTCGCACGCTTAGTGTGCGAATGTTCGCGAGTTTTATGCGCCCATGTGTGTGTCCGTATGTAGCCTACATGTGTTGACCTGTACGAGGATCACATATATGTATTGTATGAGACTTAATCAACCCTGATGCTGGGAACATTGTAATCCATTTATTAAAACAAGGTTTCTGGTGAAATCAATTTATTTAAACAAGGTTTCTGATGACAAAATGCGATAATTGTTGTATTCACTAACACTCCATGACAACTCAGTAACAACATCAAATTTATCAACAGCTAGCTTACATGTTGTTGTATAAGTAACAATATTAAATGCATCAACTTTTAGCTAACACTGCAGCATTAGAGTAACAATACCAACAATATTGAAAACGTTAGTTTTTTTTAACATCAACAAAATATCAGGACAGAAGCAGTAAAGTTATAACATATATGTCGACTGCCATACATTAGTATATCAGCCGGTTGCCGGTTGTTGAAAGCCGGCTGTAACACAAGAAGTAAGATCAACAAAACAGAATCTAATGTTTAGGCAAGATACACATATTTGTGCATGTAGGCTACCTAGGAAAGATAATGCCTGTCTTGGTTTATTTCTTCACAGGCCTATAGATTAAACCCCTTAGTTGTTTTATTTTCGGTTTAACACCGCGTTCACACTTGCGACATGTATACACTACATGTATGGAAAACAAAGCTTGTTCAGAAAAATTATGTTATATGAAAAAAAAAATTCCCACGTAACATACATACTCGTTGCGAGTTTTTTTTTTATTTTCTAGACATGTATATTATACATGTCGCCAGTGTAAATGCGGTGTAAAATCGAGAGATGAAATATTTAGCAGCGTCAGCTTAGGGATCTGTACATATAGAGCTAACTTAGCATCCTATTCGATAACTTAACACATTCACATCTTAAATTTTATAGTCATTACAAAATTAATTTTTAAAGCAAGTAAAAACAAAAACACATTTATGTTTATAATGGCATTTCTAAAAAACTATTATAATGATGGTCATAATCATATTTCAAATAATAATAATAATAATAATAATAATAATAATAATAATAATAATAATAATAATAATAATAATAATAATAATAATAATAATAATAATAATAATAATAATAATAATAATAATAATAACAATAACAATAACAATAACAATAATAATAATAATAATAATAATAATAATAATAATAATAATAATAATAATAATAATAATAATAATAATAATAATAATAATAATAATAACAATTAAAATAGTAATAATAACAATAACAATCAAAATAGTAATAATATCCTGACTTATAAAAATTGACAATAATAAAAGTACCCATAAATTACCCCGCATAAGTCTTGTACTAACACAGAGGCAGAAAGGTGCAAATCTAAAGAGCACTGTTCAGCAAGCACAACTGGAAATGAACACGTCAATGGCACATATATACTGGTCATACTTACACAACTGTAATATGGCTACAGCTATATATATATATATATATATATATATAGCTGTAGTCATATAACAATTTAGTTT